CCAAAAAGGCAGCGCAACAAAGGGCGAGATACTCTTGCTTTTCTAGACAGAAAGATGGAGTTGGAGCAGGAGATGAAGAGGGAGGATTTGGAGAAGAGAAGAGAGGAACAGGAGAGACAGCGAGCTGAAGAGATGGAGAGGAGACGAGAGGAAGAAGAAAGACGGGGAGCTGAAGAAGCAATCAGACAGCGTCGGTTTGAACTGATGCAGCAACAGATGCTGCAGCAACAGCAACAAGCTCTTCAGCAACAACAACAACAGCAACAGCATAATCAACAAATGCAAACGATGATGATGGCCCTCATTAAATCTTTAGAAAAGCAGTAAAGAACAATATCTTTTTTTTTCATCATTCATTTCAAGTGAAATATTTTTGAGTGACCAACAGTGAACATTTTACTTTGACATAATTTTTTACCAATCTGTCTTTTCAGCTAGACAGTGCGTCCCAGAAAAAACGAAACCGAGAAGTATCGATGTTTTATCATAACCTAATCACAACCATAATTAATGAATGATACATATTTGGAAAGCTTAGAGTCTCTTCTTTCAGTTGATGCTACCCACGTGATGCATATTTCACGCATGAGTGATTAAAAGCAATTTGAAGGAAGGAAACCAAAAAGACATTTGGCGGGCGGTATCTGAATTTCAAAGAAAAATTCATATTTCTAGAAAGTTGAGTTTCTGCCCTTTCATATGATACCTCAATCAAGAAAAATGAGCCAGGAATACCAAAGTTCTGCTTGTTTAAAGTAGCCCTTACATTTTCATAATTTTAACAAACGAATTCGTTTTCACTGGGTGCCTGTCGTAGCAAAAAGCAGATTTGACAAAAGACTTAACTCCGTTTCGTTGACAATCAGCCATGCATGAAGACTCTCATCTACGGCTGATTGTCAACGAAACGGAGTTAAGTCTTTTTGTCAATTTTGCTTGTTGCTACTGCAGGCAGCCAGTAAAAACGAATTCGTTTAATAAAATTATGGAAATGCAAGCACTACTTTAAACAAACAGAACTTTGTCATTCCTCGCTCATTTTTCCTGATTGAGGTGTCATATGAAAGGGCAAACTCAACTTTCTAGAAATGTGAATTTTTCTTTGAAATTCAGATACCGCCCGCCAAATGTCTTTTTGGTTTCCTTCCTTCAAATTGCTTTTAATCACTCATGCGTGAAATATGCATCACGTGAGTAGCATCACATGAAAGAGGAGACTCTAAGCTTTCCAAATATGTATCATTCATTAATTATAGTTGTGATTAAGTTATGATAGAACATCGATACCTCTCGGTTTCATTTTTTCTGGGACGCACTGTATAGTACTATTTTAACGCCTGCAGGACTTCAACTATTGACTTTGGCAGTTTTGCTAAGTCTGTGTGTATTAAGTTATATGGTCTTCCTAAGAGTTACCCATCTGCCATTATGATATGTATATGCCAAAGATACATTGTGTTAACTTGTATATATATGCAATTCAACAACATCTTGCCTTTTTTTATGTGTGCGACTTCCCTTTTCCTCCTTAGTTTCAATGTACTTGGTGCTATCACATCCTTTCAATGGCCTCTCGAATGCCCAGCTCCTCCTCTGTCTCCTCTACTGCAATGCCACTTGCTGCCTTCTCTGCATTGTTCTTGGCCTTAACCTGGTCCTTTAAAATGTGGATCCTGTCCCTCACTGCCCTGCAGTCGACCTTGTATCCCTTCCTTATCATCCCCTCTGCCACCTGTTGCCATGCTCTGGCCCGATCGCTCGTCTTATATCTGAATTGGAAGGGGTTGGCTAGGACCATCTCCCCTATTAATGTGTTGATGCTATTGTTGTCCCAGGACATGCTGCAGTAGAAGAAATGAAATCAAGATATTTCTCCTTGGTCTTTAGTAGGTGACTTTGACCATGTTTACTTGTGTAGTGCATATGTTATGTTTTCACAATGCCAACTTGTGTTAATTTGATGAAGGTGTTGTGGCAAGTATGTCATTGAACTTGATACGTTTACATGTGTAGCCTTCAGAGTAACTTGTTAACATAGTTTTGTTTAAGTAGCTACGCGAAGAAAATCTCATTTTGGAAATTATGCATCACTAGAGAGCTAGCGGATTATATATCATTATTAGACAAGTTGAGATCCAAGTAAACCAGATCTTACAGAAATCATCTCAGGATCAATACTAATTAATATTATTTTCACAGGTACTTCAAATTCTTCAATAGATCTTTGGTGTATTGTACATGTGTTTTCATAATGTAACTGGTACATGTAAGATGTAACTTATCAGTTGAAAGTTCAGGTTTTCAGCTTATTTCATGTTTGAGTTTGAGTTTGAGTTTGAGTTTGAGTTTGAGTTTATTATTTAGAAATATTCCTTACTTAATATAGAATCTACATGGAAGTCAAATGTGTGTCGACTTCCGTATCAATACCAAACATACAGTAAATGTATCTAACTTTATGGGTAATTTCATTTAAATGAAATAGGTGATATAGGCTAGAGTGGATTCGTGGATTGCACTGTAGTTTTATTATTACTTCATATTTTCTACTCATTGATGTATTCAGTACCAATCGTAACACGGGTTAATAAAGCTAATGGTGCATATTTTGATAACAAATCTTTTACACAAGTTCTATTGAAATAGGTGATACAGGGTGGAATAGATTACTATTAATAAAATTAGTAGTTTGTGTCTACTCATTGTTGTTTACCCTTTCTTTATAATGTGATCTTTTTAATGCAGAGTTTGATTATTGAGCACATTAAGTGACACAGGTAAATCATATCAGGCTAATAGTGGAAAGAAAGTGGCATTTTATGTAGTTGTGGTATTTTATTTATTATGTATATATTATGTATATATACTTAAATATATTTATATATATATGTGTGTTCATTTTATTGAGAAATAAAAATTTAAAAGTACTTGATTTTAATTTGTTTTCTTATCACAGGTGTTTGTATGTTTTCAAAAAATCTTAACTTGTTTGAACGCAGGTTGTCGATAAAGAAAATGATCTAAATACAATGTTAGTTGCAGCAGTCCAAACTAATGAAGCTGGACAAATTGAAGGCGAGGAGGGGGTGGGGTCGTCCCACCAAAGGGGGCTTATTTTTCTTTCAAAAATGTTCACGTTTGTACCTTGATCGTGGCATTTATGCTTAATAATTTCAAGAGTATGAGTAATGTGGTACAGTGTGTGTGTCTAATTATGTGTATGTGTTGGGGGAGAGAGAATGGATGACTAGTCTCTGCCCAACCCTTTGGATTTGCAAATGATATGTGCAAACAATATGAATTTTCAAATTAAAGTACCGAATATCTATACCAGAACTGGATAGAAAAAATACACTTACAGAACTGTACATAAATACAGTTACACACTCCACAACACACCACATTCTTTCATCTTTCAGTACTGTTTCTTTCTTCTCTTTTCTCTCCTTTTTTTCTTCTTTCTTTCCTTTCTTTTTCTTTCTTTCTTTTCTTTTCCTTTTCTCTTTTTCTTTTCTTTCCCTTTCCCTCTCCTTTTTTCACTCCCCCTGTTCTTTTTTTGGTAAAAGAAAATGTGTTTTTGTAGCCATTAATATCAGTTTAAATAAATTTATTTTATAATATCAACACTTATAGTTGGTTTATTTTCATAGATGTAAAAATCTAATTAAATGACATACAGACTTTCATAACTTTGGTGGTACCATCTGGCAATACAAGAAATATAGCTTGAATTTAGACTGGTTTATATACAAAAACTGGCACAAAGTGATAAATTCACACACATATGATACATAAAATACAAAGAAAAAACTACTTTTCCCTATTACCTCAAGAACATGTCCATCTGTGTCATAAGATGCTATTGAATGTATTCTACTGGTATTAGACAAATTATTTTTTTGAGTTGTTCATCCAACTGACTCCAGCAAAACCTCATTTGAACAAGATCAGATAAGGTTCTGGTTACAAAGTGATTGCTGATCTCATACCTATTTTTCTTTTCTTTCTCCCACCCTGATATAAGAAGGTTTTGTTGTACTCAACAAATCAACATCCAGTGCATATTTTCCATGAACACTGGCAGATAAGATGATCAATTTGCAGTTGTTGCTTGTATTCCTGTATCTGACTGACACAGCAATGACCAATTCACAGCTTGAGTGCTCCACACTGTCTTTTTTTTTTATTGTTAGCTCTTTGAGCGATTCAAATCACCACTTAATAGTTTATCCTTTCACAAAAGAATAATTAACTATAACCAGAATAGAAATAAAGTTAAAAAAAACATTAAAAGAATTATTTTGTATTGAACATTTTGTCCATTTTGGTTAATAATTCAAATAAATTATCTTGCTTTAGTCTTTTGAAAAAATCTTTCTTCTCGTTTGAGAATCAATTTGTCATATTTATACATTTTATATTTTCACTTGCCCGATGTGAAATTTTACTTCCTTATAAGCCAACATTAAAATGGTAACAGTGATGCTTGCTTGTCAAATCCTATTGAATAATACTGACTGGACATCAAAGAAAAATATTTGTCACAAACATGGCCAGTGACATGGAACAATTAAATAAAGGTTACAAAGAGGTGATTAGAGTTTATTCAATGTACTGTAAGCAGTACACAGACCTGCACATCATATGCTGAATCATCATTAATGTGGGGGGTCCTATTAAAAGAACAGGTAATTTGAGAATAATGAAAGACTTCTTTCAACATTTCTGGTATTATACAAATAGTGAATGGCCATGAGAGCAACGGTACAAGATTTTATTAAGAGACGCTCTATCCAAAGAGGTGCACCCAAGTTGAATGGAGCATCTCTACGTGTATGTTCTGTAATATTAACATGACTTATTCACATAATTGCGACTTAATCAATATTTTCCTATTAACATTACTGTTTACTAGGTTAATGATATATGTTTGTTTTGCAAATGAGTATTATTTTTTTTAACTGTTTTGTATAAACGTTATAAACGATGTAAATATGTTCATGTTTATTCAGGGCCCCATGGAAGACCACTACTTGTTGGTGAATGGGCTACCCTGTCAAAAGATTAGAAATAAATAAATAAATAAATAAATTCATAACAGAAATTGTTTCGATCAAAGTTATTGAAAATACTCGTCCAGTGATGGAGGCTGCAGTTCAAAGTAGGAGGATGTATTGTTACCATAAATACATGTGTGGGCATTTGTCAGAATGGCCGACACCATGTACATCTTTGCACAAGAACTTAGCAGGATCTTTTGACTTTTTTTGAAGTCCGTGTATTTGAAGAAGTTTATTACATCCCCAAAGGACCACTCCACAGTAATTCTGACTTTGGACATAGCTCTGTTGAATGCTGCCTGTTCCGGTGTGATGTTTGCAGTAGGAAATGGGGCCTGCAGCTGGGGTCTGACGGGATAAGCAGGGTCCCCGTAGATGCACAACAAGTTACCCTCTGCATCATGGGATCCGCCTTCAAGCATGGTTAGAAGACCCGACTCCCGTAGAAGGTAGGCGTCATGTCGTCGTCCTTCCACAGGTCCGTAAAGGTTGGCTATCATTCCATTTGGAGAAGTGACAGACTGGTACTTAAGACTATGTACACGCTTGTGGCCATTGTAAGCCACCCGTTGGTGTTCCCCAGGTCGGCAAATCGGACGAACGGTCCCATCTATGAACCCCCAACAGTTGTTTAGTGGTGCCCCTTTCTGGTGAATGACATCAGCGTAAATTCTCAGCTGCTGAGGGGCCAACCAATGCTGCTCCAATGTTGTCAGTCTGTGCTTGTGGGCATCAAAGATGAAGTTAGTCACCCAGTTGAAGGCTAAACAGAGCTGGGGCACTGGTCGTCGATAGTCTTTAACTAAATCTCCATATCGGCATGGATAGGCATAGCGTTGCAGACCTAAGCAGAGAGCCTCCAATCCATCCATTCTTGACCTGTTTGGCAAGGTGATTCTGTCTGGAACGCCTAAAGCATGTTTGAGCCGAAATATATCATCCTTTTTGAATCTGTTAAAAAAAACAAGAAATAAATCAGAACATTAATCAGTTTGAATTTAACATTTTTCTTTAGCTTAAGTGTTTGACAAACAGTGGTGCATATTATAGCAAAGGCGAGTATGACAGTAAATTATTTTGTCTAACATCAGTGAGCTGAACAAAAATTGCATTTTAATACTGCTACTACTGTGCTAGATCTATAGACCTAGACCGAATTGTCTGTCTCTTTCATTCGTTAGTTTCTGATTTAGGAGCCGACCTTACCCAAATCAGAGGCTAACGAACGAGAGAGACAGAAAATTCGGTCTAGATCTAGACCTAGCTATAAATAATGGTGTCATCAAATTCAAATGTCAATTTTGTGTGCAATCAGTTGAGTTTTGTCCTTAGGCCTAGACTCTAACTGTTAGACTATATTGAAATGTTGAGAATCAATAGCACAACTTTCAATACACAGCCAGGCCAAGATAGTAATGCAGCTATAGATCTAGATCTAGTCTAGTCTAGACCTAGGCCCCATATATTGAATACAAATTTTGAATAAAAATGTTATAGATCTACTAGACTCTAGGTCTAACTTAGTATTAATAATTAATAGACAATAGGGTAGGCCCTAGTAACTTTTAGAGTTCTAACCTGAAATAGCTTCTACACTCATCATCGTTGAAATCGTCTAACTCAAAGTGACCACCATCATGTTAGAAGTCAAGGTTGTTAGATGTGTTGATATCCATAAGAAGAATGAACTCTACATCATCTATAACGTCGAAAGCGTAGGCTGCCATAACTGCATCTTGCACTCGATGCAAATTCGCCATGTTTGAGGGAGAGCTAGAGCCTAGAGGGATATTCCCAAGCGTGATGACGTCAGCTACTCTGTAATTATACGTCCGCATTCACCGAAGAGCGAAACCGCCTATTGTAACCAGAGCGGTCTGTGTGCGCGGCCGTAAACCTGAGTGCTCTGCTTCCGCGAAGGTTCCTTATGTTGGTGAGCGAAAACTCGCTAATGACGTCATCTAGGCGCCATTTTGTGAAATTTTCTGAAAATCAACTCATGATCATATCTTCATAACCAAAATTCATTTCTCATTCATATTTATCATGATCAAGGTCAATATCAGTCCGGTCAATTTCCGGTCAAAAAACGCGCGCGTGCGCGTACGTCCGCGCGTCAGTGCGCGCGCAAAAATTTTAAATGCTCAAAATCGTCTCAAAATAATTTTGCATACGTTTCAGATCGTTTTAAGCATTTTATAAAAAATCGCGCACCCACGCATGCGCGCGCGTTTTCGCGCGTAACACCATTACACAACATAGAATCGCCGTTTTTTTTTCTTTCATGATATTTCTCATATTTTTTCGAGAAATTTGATACCATGTTTATCTCCTTATGACCATTAATAACAAGATGAGCGTCAATTCAAGATAAATGTCCGTGCGCGCGAGCTCTTTTATTACATAGTATATATGGGCAAAAACATGCCTATACAAAATCCATTATAGCTCTTTGGAATGAACCGTGAACTTCAATGTATTTTCATTTTTAAATAGAGTATGAGTCGGAAATATGATTCCATGTCTCATTTGGCCATTAAGTGTATCGTGACATCATCATAATGGCCTTGGAACTCAAAATACGAATTTGCATATTATGAAGTCAGCATATTTATGGGAAATTGATTGTATCTCTGTATATATTGATCGATTTTCTTCCAAATTTCGATAAGATGTAGCTGAGACAATTCTCTACAAGCTCAGTCAACACCATTTTTCATTTTGATGCTTCATCATAGTGAAAAATACGATTAAAGGGCACATATCAGAAATTTCTTACGTTGCGTGTAATGCCTAAGGAAGGTGAATTTCGTTTACATTATTACATCAATGACAATGTTTTTTAGCAGTATCTTGCTTATTTTTGCTCTATTTTGTCTCAAATTTGAGTTGACCAGCCCACCTATACTTGTTCCAAACAAGTATTATGTCTAGTTTATTTTTCTTATTTTGACCCACTTTTTTGTTAGCAAGATAACTTTGAAATGGTTCAATCAAATGCTTTGATATTTGGCACACATATTTATAGGCATATGGACAAGACACGGTAAGGTTTTCAACATTGACCTTCACTGATGACGTCATCTAGGCGCCATTTTGTGAAATTTTCTGAAAATAAACTCATGATCATATCTTCATAACCAAAAGGTATTTCTCATTCATATTTATTATGATCAAGGTCAATATCAGTCCAGTCAATTTCAGGTCAAAAAACGCGCGCATGCGCGTACGTCCGCGCGTCAGTGCGCGCGCAAAATTTTTAAATGCTCAAAATCGTCTCAAATTTTTTTTGCATACGTTTTAGGTCATTTTAAGCATTTTATAAAAAATCGCGCGTACGAGCATGCGCGCGCGTTTTCGCGCGTAACACCATTAACAAACATAGAATCGCCATTTTTTTTTCTTTCATGATATTTCTCATACTTTTTCGAGGAATTTGATACCATGTTTATCTCTTTATGACCATTATTAACAAGATGAGCGTCAATTCAAGATAAATGTCCGTGCGCGCGAGCTCTTTTAATACATAGCATATATGGGCAAAAACATGCCTATACAAACTACATTATAGCTCTTTGGAATGAACCGTGACCTTGAACGTTTTTTCATATTTAGATAGAGTATGAGTCGGAAATATGATTCTATGTCTCATTTGGCCATTAAGTGTATCGTGACATCATCATAATGGCCTTGGAACTCAAAATACGAATTTGCATATTATGAAGTCAGCATATTTATGGGAAATTGATTGTATCTCTGTATATATTGATCGATTTTCTTCAAAATTTCGATATGTTGTAGCTAAGATAATTTTCTACAAGTTTAATTAATATCATTTTTCATTTTGATGACGTCATCAGAGTAAAAATTTCGATTAAAGGGCACATATCAGAAATTTCTGAAGTTGCGTGTTATGCCTATGGAAGGTGAATTTCGTTTACATCATTACATCAATGACATTGTTTTTTAGCAGTATCTCGCTTATTTTTGCTCTATTTTGTCTCAAATTTTAGTTGACCAGCCAACCTATACTTGTTCCAAACAAGTATTATGTCTAGTTATTATTAGGTGGTCTGTTGAAAACAGATCACCTGTTTTCGTCAGAATTTTCTTTCTTTATTATTAGGTGGTCTGTTGTCAACAGACCACCTATTGTTTTCGTCAGAATTTTCTTTCTTTATTTATTATTAGGTGGTCTGTTGTCAACAGACCACCTATTGTTTTCGTCAGAATTTTCTTTATTATTTATTTATTTTTATTTATTTCTTCCCATTTTTTGTTTATCGGTTAACTCAAGATCGGTTGTGTTAATTTCTTTCAATTTTGACACAGTCATAGGTCATTGTCATGAGACGTGACAGGAACATTTTCAAGGTCATCAGGTCATCGTGACGTCATCCAGGCGCCATTTTGTGAAATCACGTTATCCATCATATCTTCATGATGCATAAGCAAAGGTCATTCATATTCATATCACATATACTTCAGGTCAAGGGTCAACAGGTCATGTCATCAAAAGTCACATAAAGGTCATGACGCGCGCGTACGCGTGCGTCAAAATTTTAGAATGGTCAAAATCACCTAACTATTAAAGGAGAGTACGAATCAGGTCATTTTAAGCATTTCAAAATTTTCCGTCCACTCACAACGCGCGGAAATGGTCAAATTCATTTTTTTTTACATGATTTAGATTCCTCTTACCGTAAATGACAATTTACATTAATTTCAGTCACTTTTGACCTTTCATAAGGCCGTGAGCGCGCGTCAAAAATCAAAATCCGCGCGTGCTGCTATGGGCAATATAATGCAAATTTGATCAAAAACATCCCATTTTTAAAATCAAAATAGCTCTTCAGATAGTCAATTGACCCCAACTTTTATATCATGGTTAGAAAAAGCATGAGTTGGAGATATGATTTCATGTGTCATTTGACCCTCAATTAACTCATGACGTCATCATAATGGCCTCCGAACTCAAAATTTCAATTTGCATATTATGACGTCAGCAGATTTTTGCAAAATTGATTGTATCTCTGTAAATATTGATCAATTTTCTTTCAAATTTTGATATGTTGTAGCTGAGACTATTTGCCATCTAAATATTTCCTTATTTTTTCAATCAGATGTCAGGATCATGCTCATGCATGCTCATCATCATCATCATCAATATCATCATCATCATCATCATCATCATCAATGTTACCATCATCATCATCATGGTCTGAAGATGATCATTATCAACATCATCATGATAATGATCATCATCATCATTAACATTATCGTTTTTATCGTCATATAACATTATGAAAAAAAAGAAGTTATCATCATCATCATCATCATCACCTTTATTATCATGATCATCATCATGTTCATCATGATCATCATTGTTTACATGTCTATATAACTTCTCCCATTCTCAAATCTATCATAAGATTTAGACAGACCACCTTATTCGTCTTCGTGACGAATTAAATTCTAGTTTATTTTTATTTATTTCTCCACTTTTTTGTGCAACCGATTTCTAAATATCCATCCACCCAATTTCTCTCAATTTTGACACAGTCATAGGTCATCATTTTGGTATGTTATAGCTGAGACCATGGGCTATAAAAATGGTGTACTTTGTTTTTCGATCAGATATTGAGATCGTATCGAAATTTTCAATCGAAAGTTGAACTTGCAAATTCTCTAGAACTTTGCAGGATGTTCTTTCTTATTAGGTGGTCTGTCTTCGACAGACTACCTATTGATTTCGTCAGAATTTCCTTTCTTTATTTATTAGGTGGTCTGTTGTCAACAGACCACCTATTGATTTCGTCAGAATTTTCTTTATTATTTATTTATCAGGTGGGCTGTATACCGTACAGACCACCTTATAATTTCGTAAGAATTGCCTTTATTTATTTATTTATTTATTTTTATTCTTTATTTTTCTTATTTCGAACCACTTTTTTGTAAGCACGATTACTTGAAAATGGCTCAATCAAATGCCTTCAAATTTGGCACATATATGTATAGGCATATGTACAAAGCACAATAATGTTTTTAACATTGACCTTTACTGATGACGTCATCTAGGCGCCATTTTGTAAAGTTTTACGAAAATCAACACATGATCATATCTTCATAACCAAAAGGTATTTCTCATTCATATTTATCACGATTAAGGTCAATATCCGTCCGGTCAATTGCAGGTCAAATAACGCGCGCGTGCGCGTACGTCCGCGCGTCAATGCGCGCGCACAATTTTAAAATGCTCAAAATCGTCTTAAAATATTTTTGCATACGTTTTAGGCCACTCTAAGCATTTTATAAAAAATCGCGCACAGGCGCATGCGCGTGCGTTTTTTGCGCGTAAAACTATTACACAACATAGAATCGCCATTTTTTTTTCTTTCAAAATATTCCACATATTTTTACAAACAAATTAATACCATGTTTGTCTCATTATGACTATTAATAACGGAATGATTGACCGTTTAACAAAAATTACCGTGCGCGCGAGCTCTTGTAATACATAGCATATACGTGCAAAAACATGCCTATACAAAATCCATTGTAGCTCTTTAGGATGCAATGTGACCCCAATTTTTTTCTTCATATTTTAATAGAGTATGATTCGGAAATATTGTTTCA